AGAGGAACTTCTGAACTTGGAAAGGGGAAGTTGGCAGCAACTCTCCTGGGCCACATATCAACAATCTTCTGACAGCAGGAGCAGTGATAGTTGGGGGATTGTGAGACGAATGGAGAGGCCCCATCGTGAATTAAAGATGCTGACCTGGGGATTGTTAAGTGCTGTCTTAGTTGCTAGCTTAGTAGCCTTACTGTGAAGGAATAATTAAGATTGTTTCAGACTTTTGTTTGTGTGCTTGTGTTGACTTTTTTAACTTCAAGATATATCAAAGTAATATTCAGTTTAACGTAAGTTAAACCTATTGAAATGATAATTATGTAAAGATAAATTTTCTAGGTTAGTCAAAATTTCTCTTAAGATTTAAGTGCATAAAGAGTAGTAATCTAGAAGTATCTGTGAAAAGTTGATAATGAAAGACATTTGATGAAGGTGAATATTTTATAAATTAGAATCTCCACTACTCATCCAACAGTGTTTTATTTCATTAAGGTAGAGCTTGAGAACTCAAGTTCAAATTGTCCCCCCGACCTTCTTCTATAAATGCAAACTTAAGAGGAAAATAATGACATATATACTCTTGCCTTCCTAAATTATGGCTGCTGAATCATCATATCTACAATATATGACTGGAAGAAGTGGTTCTTCAAGTCAGCCCTCTTACAGGACTTAATGGAATTTGCTTTATCTACTTTAGGTCAAATCCATCACACACTGGCTTATTTGAAACTTTATCATCTTTCACTTTTGGTTTTCCTCTGTTTTTAAACATCTTAGGTATAACATTTAGCACAATTTCACCTTGAAAAAGCACCCAAATTACGGCGTTCCTGAAAAGATCCTATAAAAAGATGGTAGTTGGTTTGAACTGGTTATGAAAGGTGACTTTGGGGTGTGAGAGTGTTCAGCTGTGAGTTTCATCATGCGTGTCCATTGAGCTTGCTTTAAGAACAATGTTTTGCTTTGCTCTCTGGTCCATGAACTCATTTCCATTGGAGTGAGCTCCCTTAGTGAACTTTGTCTCCTGCTTGGAAGGTCTCTCTTCTGAACCTGGAGCCTGAGTACATTTTTAGAGCCAAATTACAAGTGGGTGAAGACATGCTGCAGTTACTATTGTTAGCAATGTTTTTAAATTTGTGTCTGTTGGGGTGGGAAGGGGAGTGAGGCCTCAAAGATAGGAATTCATTGATAGCTGAAATAGAGACAAGCCTAGTAGCTCCAGCCCCCTTTTATTGACCATATCACAAGTGATTGAAGCCCAGTGAATTATTCTGTTAGAATTCATTCTACAACATGATAGAAACTTTCTTACTGGGTTCAGAAATGCACATTGATTTGTGCTGTGATGGGTGGTGTTTGTAACAATCACTGTTGTATAGGCTTATGATCTGAGCAAAATGTGAACTTTAGTATGTGTACTATTGCTCTTACTTGAAAAATTTTTTTTTCAAAAAAAAGCACAAATTAAAGTAGTAAATTCATATCCATAGATAGTTCATTCATTCTACAAATATTTACCAAGTTCCTAATATAAGTGAAAGACCACTTCTCATGTTAGATTACTAAGTCATTTGTGTATGTGTGGCAGTGAAGAGAACAAGTCCTTCAAAAAGCATTTGATCATCTTTATTTTTTTTAAATACACTCTCTTATTTTTCTACTTGGTTTTGTTGTTAATCATAGCAGGATATGACAACTCTTATTTGAACTGATTTTTTCATCTAATATAATAATGGAAGCCAAAGTATTCATATTTCTTAAGATAGCCCTAAATGTACTCTTGAACTTCTTACTGGAACAATGTTTGATACTCTAGTATATAGGCTGTATTTATGTAATATTTAGAATGACATGTTAATAAACAAAGTAACATTAAAACAGGCACGTAGAGTTGTTTTTTTCACTGAAAATCAGTAGTCTGCAGCCCTAAAAAGGAAAGAAATTCTGACACATGGTACACAGAGATGAACTTAAGGATATTATGCCAAGTGAAAGAAGCCAGTCACAAACAAATACTATGTATGTGATGCCACTTGTGTGATGTTCTTAGTCAAATTCATAGAGACTTAGTAGAATGGCCATTGCCAGTGTCTGAAGGGAGAGGAGAATGGGGAACTTGTTTAATGGATACAGAGTTTCAGTTTACCAAGATGAAGAGTCCTTTAGGTCAGGGGTCCCCAACCCTCAGGCCACAGACCCATATTGGTCCCTGGCCTGTTGGGAAGAGGTCGCACAGCGGGAGGTGAGTGGCGGGTGAGTGAGCATTACTGCCTGAGTTCCGCCTCCTGTCAGATCAGTGGCAACATTAGAACATTAGATTCTCATAGGAGTGCAAACCCTATAGTGAACTGAGTATGCAAGGGATCTAGGTTATGTGCTCTGTATGAGAATCTAATGTCTGAGGTAGGACAGTTTCATCCCAAAGCCATCCTCCCCACCCCCCACCAACCGCCCCATCCCACGGTCCATGGAAAAATTGTCTTCTATGAAACCAGTCCCTGGCGCCAAAAAGGTTGGGGACCGCTGCTTTAGGTGGATGGTGGTGACGGTTGCACAAAAATGAATGTTTAATGCCATTGAACCATATATTTAAAAATGATTGGGATGGCAAATTTTAGGTTATATATATTTTACCACAACAAAAAAAAAACATCAGTAGTGTGATTCTTAATGGGTATCAGGCTAAAAATAGGTACACCATGAACATGTCAACTGCTTGATTCTCAACTATACACAAACACATATAGAAATCTTTGGATTTTATTCCTGCTGGAAGGTAGTACAGTTGAACTGGCACAGTAGAAAAATGTGTCTGTACCTTTGGGGGTACTTACATGAAGGGAAAGACATATTCTTTATCCTCAAGGAATATATGAATTATTAGGAGAGAGGGAGATAGGTTTAGGAATTAACAACACAATGAGATACTTATAAAGAGCTTTTCATAACAGTCAGTGAGAGAAAACCAAATAGGATGATATGGTTTGGCTGTGTGTCCCCACCCAAATCTCATCTTGAATTGTAACCCTCAGGTGTTGAGGGAGAGACCTGGTGGGAGGTGACTGGATTATGGAGGCTGTTTCCCCCATGCTGTTCTCATGCTAGTGAGGGAGTTCTTATGAGATCTGACGGTTTTATAAATGGCAGTTCTTCCTGGGCTTTGCGTGCTCTCGCTCACCTGCCACATGTAAGACGGGCCTCTTCCCCTTCCGCCACAATTGTAAGTTTCTTGAGGCCTCCCCAGCCATGCGGAACTGAGTCCATTAAATGTCTTTCCTTTATAAATTACCCAGTCTCTGGTATTTCTTCATACCAGTGTGAGAACAGACTAATACAGAAATAGGGTTACACATGACAAGCAGTTAGTTGTTCGGAAGATAACACTTGTGTTGAGTAGGGGAAAATATAAAGTGTCCTTTTAGCTCATCTCCAAAAAGTTAGCGGCACAAGCAAAGGCTTAGAGATGGGGGCTAATGAGCCTTCCAGAACTTACCATAATTAAGTTTGGTTAGAATGGAGAAAATAAGCTAGAAATGTTGGCAAGGGGAGTGTCTGTGGGTGCGTGCATGTGTTTTACATTTATTTCCCACAGTGCCAGACATTGTGCTCTCTGCTTCACATTTTATTTACTGTCCATATTTTGTCCCATAAGGTAGGCAGCATTATTCTCAGATTAAATAATCGGATTCAAGTTTTTCAGTAGTGACATAGCTGAAGTTCATACTCGGGTCCGCCTTAGAGGTTGCCCAGTAGCCGGCCTCATGGCCGCGAAACACGTGGTGCTCCATGATGCACAGTTACGTGCTGTGAGTCACAGCTTAAACGTGAAAGTAAAGTGGGGGACAAATGTTTTTTTTAAAATAAAGATCATGACATCAAAATGATTAGTCAGATAAACTTGCTAAGATGGCTGGGCACGGTAGCTCACGCCTATAATCCTAGCACTGGAGGCCGAGGCAGGTGGATCACGAGGTCAAGAGATCGAGACCATCCTGGCTAACACGGTGAAACCCCGCCTCTACTAAAAATACGAAAGTTAGCTGGGCATGGTGGTGCGCGCCTGTAGTCCCAGCTACTTGGGAGGCTGAGGCAGGAGAATTGCTTGAACCCGGGAGACAGAGGTTGCCTAGGGGAAATCTATTCAGAGGTTGTTGGAGGGGATCTTCGCTTCTCTAGTTTTTTTTTTTTTTTTTTTTTGAGACGGAGTCTCGCTCTGTCGCCCAGGCTGGAGTGCAGTGGCCGGATCTCAGCTCACTGCAAGCTCACCTCCCGGGTTTACGCCATTCTCCTGCCTCAGCCTCCCGAGTAGCTGGGACTACAGGCGCCCGCCACCTCGCCCGGCTAGTTTTTTTGTTATTTTAGTAGAGACGGGGTTTCACCGGGTTAGCCAGGATAGTCCGATCTCCTGGACCTTGTGATCCGCCCGTCTCAGCCTCCCAAAGTGCTGGGATTGCAGGCTTGAGCCGCCGCGCCCGGCCACTTCTCTAGTTTTTAAAATGCTCCACATGATTCTGATGTGTGGCCAGATTTGAAATCTACTGGTTTAGATTTTGTCCCTAAGATATAAGAACTTAGGCTAGAGCTGCCGATACAACAGGAATGGAATGTTCTTTTTCATCTCCTGCAAATATTTTTAAAGTACTTATTTATTACATGTCAGACACCATGCTGGAGACTCAGTTTAAACCCATTTTGAGATGTAATATTATTGCAAGTCAGAGTACCACGGTAAAAAATGAGAACTGTGAATGTGAAGTTTTCAGGGGTCAGACATGGTAGTGTGGGCATAAAAACCAGAACTGTATATTATTAGGCTGAGAAAAATGTTAACTGTCAATTTTATTTCATTCTTGCATACTCCTGGTAATGTTCTTATTCAGAGTCCAGTTTAAAATTTAGGTATTTGTTTTGAAGATGATGAATCCCAACATGATAACTATGGCTGAAAAGGGATTTTTCAAAAGCAGACTTTGTGACACGAAAACAGGCAAATTTGGTACAAGTAAAGTAGTATAATCCAAATTTATTATATCTAAGAAGCATCATGGGCTGTAACTAGAATCAAAGGTTAGTAACATTTTATGCACTTATTCTACAAACATTTACTGAGCATATTAGGTGCTGGGAATGTGACAGTGAACAAAAAACACAAGTAAGAGTGTGCAAAGAATGATCAAAATATCAACTAGCAAGAACATGGAAGAGCTGCCGGGACCAAGAGGAAATGACTAGTTCTAAAGATGTGTGGATTTCACAGCCTGGTCTCTGGTTTTGAGCCCGATTGCAATTTGGCCTGACTCCTGGCTTAGGAAATGGTAATCCCTAATAAGACAGGGACGATACTGATGTAGAACTTGACATAAGATCTCTATTTTCTTGAAAAGAGCACAAGGTTTGTTTTAAGTCCTGAAGTAGCTCAATCTCTTCCTTCAACTGCTGCCGCCTTTGTTGAGATGCATGAATTTTTTTCTCTATTGCTATGAAAAGAATAAAAAAAAGATTTCAGATTATTCAGTAGTTTTATTAGAAATAATGTACCGTTTCTAGCCCCTTTCACTTGCAAGTACAGATACACAATCCTCATGCCTCCGAGGAAAAGGATCCAGAGCGTTATGGGCAGGAGCTGGTTTCTTTATGCCTTCACTTCCTCCTTCTAATTCAGGACAGAATTCTAACATTTATACACAAAGCTGCCCAGTAAACCCTTAAGATTTTGTGCACATTTATAGCAGAACAAGTCCCTTGGTATATATTTGAAAACTTGAAAATAGTGACTGTATAACCTTCATGCTATACTATATCCATTTATTGAGATATGATAATTGGAGAATGTGGCTAGAATACCAAGGTTAAGGACAAATCCCTCCTAAAAATGTGTCCAATTTTTAATGTTACATAAAAGCTTTAGGTTTCATTTAGAAACAGGAAGGCTTTTAATTGTGGAAACTTAGAAAAGCTTAGGAGGAAGATACTTAGGCTTTATAAATAACAAATAGTAGTCAATGGCAATGTAATTTTTAAAAGCCTCAAAATCAAACAGTTAAAACACACACATACACAACTTTTATTCAGAATAACTGCATACCTATAGTTAATTTAAAATATTAGTAAGGCTAAATTAAGCAAGTTTTTATCAACTGGGATGGTGAAACCCGCCTTTTAAATTGAATCTCATGCAGTTCCAAGTAGTGGCACCCTCCAATACTACATTATAATATATGTACTCCCACCTAACCCATCCAAGTAGTGATGTGTCACATGTGCCCTTACATGAAAGAAACACACACGGAAGTCCCCTACAAAATAACTCTTTTTAGAAAAAGATATTTAAGGCTGCTTTAAAAAAATATGGATACTGCCATATAGTAGCAGACATCCTCAAAAGACTATTAAAACAGACATTATTTTTGGTAGATTTTTCAAATATTTTTCCTGCTGGTTATAAATGTAGTAAAAAATTCAAACAGAAATGTATAATATAGAAAGCCAAAATGAGAAAGGTTGGCCGTGTTGAGACAGGGATATGAACTAATGATTTCTTCCCAGGGAAATTGTATTGTCTTCCTACCATATGCTGGAGACACAGATACATCTGTGGAAACGCAGAGTGTGGAGGGCACTCTGTTGTGCAACTTCAGGGGGAGCCATCCACACCAATGCTGTGTGACTCTGTGCACGGCCTGCCCAGCCATGGGTGGCAGCCTTGAGAGAGAAGTCAGACCGGACTCAGAAACAAGAGGAGGTGTAGCCTGTCTTGAGGGCATCTTAATGCTGAAAGGAGGACTCACTCAATAAACGGTTGATATTTAATAGGAAGGTTAAATCTCCCTCCTCCAAACCAAACCAGATTTTCTACTGCAAACATTTCTTGGCTATTCTGGCTTGCTCTTTTTTTTTTTTTTTTTTTTCTGATGAACTTTAAATCAGTTGCAACCCTCCCTGATAAGAAATTAAATTAGATTTGAAGATTAATATTGGGAGAATTGAAATTTTGACCTATCCCACCAAGCGAGAGGGAGGCAAGTGGAGGGATGGTTTATCATAGCCTCGCCACGCAAGAGCAGAGAAGCCACAGGAAGCTTCACTAGCTCCTGCCTGGGCCACACACAGGCCAAAATATGCTCCAATTTTGGAATCAATTTTTTGTTGTCTCTACTTTTTTAATGAGTTTTTCTCATTACAAAAGTGTTTGTGTGTATATAGAAAATCTGGAAAATATAGCACTAAAAGAACAGACAAAAATCACTATAATCCAACTACCTACAACCAACCACTCTCTCCACCAGGTGCAGCTTTTGTCTGTGCACATGTACCTGTACATTTTTTTCCTCCGTGTGGGGCAGGGGTCATACTGTTTTTGTAATTGGCTTTTCTCACTTAAGAAAACAATGAACATTCTTCTAAAATATTTTTATCACCTGTATAGTATATTGTTTCAATATGGTGATAAATATTTTTTGACTATGCTGCTCAGATATTATATAACTCATGTACCTGCTTGAAAATTTACAAATGTGTCTTCAAACAATCTGCAGTCAAAAAGTGCACTCCCGATTTCTTCATAGTCTGGAGGGAGAAAAACATTTTCAATATTAAACAGTTTGTATAGGCAGAAACTCCTCCATTTATATGTAATCCAAAACAGGGGAAAGGAAAGAGAGCAGTCATCTGCCATGGAACTTTAATGTTAGACAGCAGCAGCAGCAGCAGCAGCAGCAGCACAGGGAAGCTGTCAGAAATGTAATTCTTGGCTCTTTTCTCTTCTCCTCTTCCTCTTTCCCTCCTCTCCCCTCCCCTCCCCTCTCCTCTCCTGTCTTCTTTTCTTTACTTTTTTTGAGATAGAATCTCACCCTGTTGCCCAGACTGGAGTGCAGTGGTGCGATCTTGGCTCACTGCAACCTCTGCCTCCTGGGTTGAAGCAATTCACCTGCCTCAGCCTCCCATGTAGTTGGGATTGCAGGCGCACACCACCATGCCCGGCTACTTTTTGTATTTTTAGTAGAGACAGGGTTTCGCCATGTTGGCCAGGCTGGTCTTGAACTGCTGACCTCAGATGATCTGCCCACCTTGGGATCCCAAAGTGCTGGGATTACAGGCGTGAGCCACTGCACCTGGCCCCCAATTCTTGGTATTTGTACCGAATCAGAATCTCTGGGGGATAGGCCCAGCTATCTGTGTCCTCACAAGCCCTACAGGTGATTCTCAGACACACTGTTTGGGAAGTGCTTGGTCTAGAGGAAATAAATGAATAAAATAATATAATAAATGAGCTTTTGCAAATGTTTACTATCTCACTTTTTGGCTTTGCCCTATAAAAAATAATCCCATTCAAATACACATTTTTTTATATTGTTGCCTACAATATAAGCTGTCCAGCTTGTCCTTGTAAAATAACTATATTTATAATAAAGATTTTAAACTCATGGGATATAAGTTATAAGAAAGCTAAGTAAGGCTGGGCGCAGTGACTTACGCCTGTAATCCCCGCACTTTGGGAGGCCAGGGTGGGCAGATCACTTGAGGTCAGGAGTTCAAGACCAGCCTGGCCAATGTGGTGAAACTCCGTCTCTACTAAAAATACAAAAATTAGCCAGGCGTGGTGGCACATGCCTGTAATCCCAGCTACTCCAGAGACGGAGGCAAGAGAATCACTTAAACCCTGGAGGCAGAGGTTGCAATGAGCTGAGATCACGCCACTGCACTTCAGCCTGGGAAAGACAGCGAGACTCTGCTTCAAAAAAAAAAAAAAAAAAAGCTAAGTAGCTATATACCTGCACATACAAATGGAACTTTGGCTTCCCAAAGAGCTCTTTAAGAAAGAAACTTATTTAATTAACAAAGTTCATCTCTAAACCAAACATCAATCAAAACATTAAAATTCGTTCTTCTATACTTTAAAGTTTGGGTTAACATTATTTAAAAAAGGACACTTGGCTTATTAAGGAATAGAATTTGAGTCAAATCAAAACTAACATAATACTGTTCTCAGATCTTAGCAACAGGAGTGCAGGGCAGTGGCAGGGGAGCATATGTGACTGAATCTGTCTCTGAATGGCACGTTCTGTTAGTGGCCAACCTGTAAGACACCTCTGGAAAATGTACCACAACTCTCGGGGCATCAGGTTACTTTTGACTAAATTACTGAGTTTGTAAATTACCCACATCCTGTTGATTTATGAAGCACAGTAGATCTGGTACAATGATTTTATTAAAGAACGAGGTAAAGGGCCAGGTGCGGTGGCTCACGCCTATAATCCTAGCACTTTGGGGAGCCAAGGTGGGTGAATCCTCTGAGGTCAGGAGTTCAAGACCAGCCTGGCCAACATGGTGAAACCCTGTCTCTACTAAAAATACAGAAAATTAACTGGGCATAGTGGCGTGTGCCTGTAATCCCAGCTACTCAGGAGGCTGAGACAGGAGAATTGCTTGAACCCGGGAGGCAGAGGCTGCAGCGAGCTGAGATCCCACCACTGCACTCTAGCCTGGGCAACAAGGGTGAAACTCTGTCTCACAAAAAAATAAAATAAAATAAAATAAAATAAAGAATGAGGTAAAGAAGAAGAAAAAAGTAGTATAGGAAGAAAATGGGCCTTTTTTTTTCTTTCTTGGGTTTGTTTTGTTTTACATCTAGGTCTGGGAGAAGTCTCTATACTTAGAAATATTGCTATTCATCAGTACCTGATTCTGAAGTAGTCTCATCCATGAGTTTTTCTGGAATTGAATGAACTTTGTCTAATATTTCTTCAAGTAAGTAATTAAGAAGTCCTGCTTCCTTGCATTTCTTAAGAAAAGGAACTTTCACAGTTGCATCTAAGAGTAAGACAAACATTTGAGAAGGAAATAGTCTTAGGGCAGCTAATCATAAATTATTTTATGCTTATTTCTTCAGACCTTGCCTAGTGGTGGATGACATACTTAGTAAAATAATACAGCACCTTCACCGTTTCTATTAATTATAATTTCATCATATCTCATTTTTTTTGGCCAGCTGAAACAATGAATGAAATGTTACAAAAAGTAAAAGTGAAAATTTCTCTGCTTACAATAACTATATGAGTTAAGAGGATTTTTTAAGCATATAAAAACTGTAATTTTTAAAATTTCAATACCTTTTGGGGAACAGGTAGTTTCGGGTTACATGGATAAGTTCTTCAGTGGTGATTTCTGAGATGTTGGTGCACCTGTCACCCGAGCAGTGTACACTGTTCCCGATATGTAGTTGAATTAAGGGATTTTAAAAGATTACCCTTAAATATTTGACATAACAGCCCCTGTCACTTTTTGTCACAGTTTGTATGTGTTGTTAGTGGAATGTCTATTTCTTTAAAGAACAGAGAACTACAGTTACGGGGGTCACAGTGTGAGGGGTGACATATCACTGGATTCTGAGCTCAGGCAAGCCTGTCTGTGTCTTTATTAAGAGGTCTGTCTTTTCTTAATACTGAAGACAACGGACCATTCCAACCTAAGTTATCTTGATATGCTGGGATTACAATAAAGTGGATAGTTACGATAAAGACTTATACTCATTAATTACTACAAGCCTAGAAGAATAAAGATTTAGGCGGGATACCAAGTTTGAAACACGTGGGTTGACATTTTTGTAAGTATTGTAGGCCATATTTGTCACAGACAACACTTAGTGCAAACCTGTGTGTCTACCATGCTCTTCTTTCACTTGTCTTACGAATGTATTACATTTCATTGTTTCGGGTGACTAGAAGGAGAGAAAATCAAGATTGCATTACATTGATTTTAATATTGCATAAAATGAAAACCAGTCTTTTGCTGTGCATAACTAAATGATACGCCTACAGTAAAAATCATGCCCTGGCTGGGCGCGGTGGCTCACACCTATAATCTCAGCATTTTGGGAGGACGAGGTGGGCAGATCACAAGGTCAGGAGTTCGAGACCAGCCTGGACAACATGGTGAAACCCTGTCTCTACTAAAAATACAAAAATTAGGCAGGCGTGGTGGTGCACGCCTGTAATCCCAGCTACTCAGGAGGTTGAGGCAGGAGAATTGCTTGAATCCGGGAGGCAGAGGTTGCAGTGAGCCAAGATCACGCCATTGCACTCCAGCCTGGGCGAAAGAGCAAAACTCTGTCTCAAAAACAACAACAACAACAACAACAAAACGCCCCATATTCATATTTAGATGTAAACAGCAAATGTATTTTTGTTTTGTATTATAAAACATCAAGAGGTGTTTGACAAGCACCCCTTGTATAAACAGGAGGAGGTGAAGGTTGCTGGCTCATATGAATTTAGCTTATACGTGCTGATGTATAAAAACTTTCAAATCCCCAAAATACTTTCATACATTTTATACATAATAATCCAGAAGTTTATAAGAGCTACAAATGTGGTCAGGTGTGGGCCATGCAGCTGGGAAATACTTGGTTCCATAAGGATGTTTGACTGCACCCTCTGCCCGTTTTAACTGTAAGCACCTGTGGGGTCAGATGCTCTCACTAGTTTGGTGCCAGGGAATTTATAGGAGCTCAGAGAATGTCACCTCCTGAAGATTATGTGCTTGGAACTTCCAGCTTCATTTTCATGCTCATCTCATTGTGATACTATCATCTAGGAATTATCTAAGAGCTTCCCGACTATGGGATTCTTCCTAAAAAGGCAGCCTCAGGAGCAGCCTTAGCTGAGAACACAAATGAAGAATGTTCTACAAAGGCTGTCTGTTCGGATGATTTGGAAAGTACATTTCACCTGACATTCAGACTGGTTTAAATAAGGACTCTGTATGAAGAAATGCAAAGCTATAAAAACTAAGTCAGATCACCTGTATATGATTGCCTGAGAGGTGTTTCTTCCTTCCTCTTTTTCTTTTCACTCCTGAAAACTTAGCTAAAAATAGAAACCATTTAAAAATTAGAATCCATAAAGGAAAAGATTACTGTTGGACTACATGAAATATACAACTCATATGCCAAAAGTTTTTACAAAGTCAAAAGATATGGCAAACTAAGTGTTTGCAGCACTTATGATAAAGGGTTAATTTAAAAAATATTATAAGTTTAATGCAAAACAGGTAAATTGAGTAGAAAAATGGGCACATGGGGAACTCTCTGGGGAGAGGGTGCATTGAAAAAAATGAACAAATTGGGACATAGGAAAACAAATATAATTGGTGAAAAGATATGGGAATGCACTCAATTTCACTCATAAGTGAAGATATTCAAAGTAAAACAGACTAATAAAGATGAAGATATTTAATAGATGACATTTGCAAAGATTCGGTTAAGTGTGTATTGCTGATGCTTTTCCGTCAGTAAACACTGATTTAAAGCAGAATTTGTAATAGCACTTCCTGCTGAGTTAAAAGGGTAATGACTGAAAAATGACTGTAGAGGTGCTATTTGGAGAGTGTTGTTTATCACCATAAAATGCAGTTGGCATGACGCAGAACTAAGTCTTCCAACGAGGTCCTGACTCCAGTTCACAGTGAACATTGCAGATTTAGTGCTGCTAAGACACTGCTGTTCCACTCATGAATGAAAGTATACCCCATAACTCCAGTTAGCCAGGATCCAGTCTGCCTTAATTAGAACTGAAATGCTAACCATGCATCCTTAGGGAATTTTCACTCAGGGAAGGTGTAGCACTTTTTAAATTTTATCTACTGAAAATTCTTATGGAAGAGAAGCAGTCCCAAAAGTCAAGGCTTTTTCCCATGTCTTAGTTTGGTTCTGTGAGTGTAGGGAGAATGAAAGATACCAGCGAATGGTTCAAAGAGAATAGGTCTTGTTCATAAAGAAGAAAAAATTAGTTAGTTATATCACATAGTACACAAATAAGTTGTCAATTTTCTAGATATGTAAAATTTTAACTCAAGTATTTATATTTTAATTCAATGAAGCTAGAAGATTGGACTATTCCTTATATTACCTAAATGTTTACCTTTCTTTAAAACTCACAGTGCTAAATTTTAGGAACTTACCACTTTGAGCGCTGTTCGGGAATTGAGCATGTTGTTGGCAAAGCAGTCTGAAATATTTAATTTCAAAGAATTGTAAAATATTTTTATTTACAGTTTTCAAATATCATGTCTATTTTTGTGATTAAAAACATACTACCCTACTTTTCATGATGGTGTCACACTAAAGTTTTTTTTTTTTTTAAAGCTGTTTAAACCTGTGTAAAATTAGTGACCCCCACTGAGTGCAGACGGGAGGCCCAGTTAGATGTCTTTTATGCCCTCAGGGACTTAGGAAGATGATTATGTTCTTTCAAGGAATGAGTACTGATGAAGTATTATGAACAATACTAGTTCATATACAGTGGTCAGTGGGATTTTACTGTATAAAGAAACCTAAAGACATGCAGATTTCCATCTGACGTACAAGATTCTGCTGGTTTTCAACAATAAATAGCACAAAATTGCATGCATTAATTTGAGGAAAAAGTAGTTTTCAATGAAAACAGATATTTGCCCCAGATCTTAGATTTGACCTACAAAGGGCCTAGAACTGATTAGTATCTTCCAAGAGAAAGCAGCAGCATAGCAGGCTACGATGAAGAAATGAAGTGAGGCCGGGCGCAGTGGCTCATGCCTGTAATCCCAGCACTTTGGGAGGCTGAGGCGGGCGGGTCACGAGGTCAAGAAATCGAGACCTTCCTGGCCAACATGGTGAAACCCCGTCTCTACTAAAAATACAAAAATTAGCTGGGTGTGGTGGCACATGCCGGTAGTCCCAGCTACTCGGGAGGCTGAGGCAGGAGAATCGCTTGAACCTGGGAGGCTGGAGGTTGCAATGAGCTGAGATTGCACCATTGCACTCCAGCCTGGCCACAGAAGACTCCGTCTTTAAAAAAAACAAAAAAGAGATGAAGTGAATCGTTTTATAGAGCTGCTCAGGCTGCTTTCTTTCTAACCTTTCCTCCTCCTCGGCACCCAGCTTCATCTCCCTTCCTCTCCAGATGGCGTGGACTCTCAGGAAGCAGTGGCCTCCTCGCCTAGGGGAATGCCGCTTCTTCCCATCTTATACCACTTCCCACCTCCTCCATGCAGCCTTCCCAGCAACACCGAAACAAAGTTAATCTCCTCCCACTTTGATTCTGGTATCTCTGAGCACTTTCACTTCCCAAGTACTTAAATTTTTTCAAACATATAAAACAGTGTCAAAAATATCAGGATGAACCCCCATGTTCCCATCCATTCCACAGTGTCAACAATTCTCAACTCAATGCCAAGCTCCCTTCATGTAACCCCTCCTTCTCTGGTTATCCCATGTGCTTCTGTTTGCATTGACCCTTCTTCTGGGCTTCCCACCAGGTGATAACTTCTCTGAGGTTCAATCTATATTTTATTCTTCTTTGTATCTTGTAGCACCTAGCAAGGTGCCTCATGTATGATAAGCATGAAGGTTTAAATTCAGTTTAAAAATGCATAAAAATTCACCTGTTCCTTGAAAAAACAATGCAAGAAGACTATTTTATTGAGTCCCTATTTGTTCTTCTAATGGGTTTTTCAAACTTTAAGCTATAGCAGGGACTTCATTCCTTTTTGTTTGATCTTGTGTTTAAGGTCATTTTAAAGGTCATACCAAAACGAGTTCTTTGGGAAGGTAAATAATAAAAATGAAACTCTGAGACTATAACAACCTGTGAGTTTCTTAGAAAATCAAATATAAAAAGAAGTGCAGTATGAAATTTACATATTTACACATTTCATGCCTGATTAGCAACAAAATACTTACGGAACTTGCTCAAAATTACATTTAAAATTGTTTAGCAAGCTTCCTTCACTGGTAGGCTTCCCTCGTGTTTTAGAATATATAGCCCCCATACCTGAAGACAACATGGTGGCAAAGAGCGAGGACTCGGAAGTCCTGCAGCCCAGCTCTGCCACTGACTAGCTGTGTAACCTGGGGACAACTCACTGAATGTCTCAAGGCCCCAGTTTCCTCCTCTGGAAAGTGAAGATAATAGTATATATCTCAGTTGACTATTATGAGGATTAAATGAGTTAACATTTGTAAAGCACTTAGAACTGTGCTTGGCATAAAGCAAGTGGTTATTAAAGAAATAAATAAAATAGTGCCTGGAACACTATGGGAAAATTGGGAATATACGCCCACCGGCAGGAAAAAACAGCAGCTTCTGAATGGAATTTAAAAAAATCATCCTAAGAATGTAACATAGCTTACAAAAATCACATTTAAAACAATCATGCTCTCCTAACATTGAGCTCATTATTCAAGATATTGTGACTAAAATTATATATATATATTTCACTGAAATTCAAAATTCACGTAACCCCTGGGCATCCCGCAAACTGGCTATGTTCTCATTTCAAAACCATTTACATAAAATTAATCTTTATTTATTAAAAAAAATAGACTTTAAAAAAAAAAAGTCTCCTTGTCTTAATCTAACCATTCCTTATCCCAATCCCCCAAATGTGGTTTTAAAAATGTTTTATTAAATACTTATAAATTCCTCGAACTCCATCAGACTGTGGAACTGCGTCGTCCTTCTTGGCACAGAAAAAGTGGTAATTCTTGTTACAGTTTTTTAAATCACATCCCACGGTGGCTCCTCTTTTATGACAAAATTTACATTTCTACAGAAGAATAGATTTTACTGAGTAAGTACCTGTTTGTTGTTATTTGTTAAAATTCAAAGATATCATTACATGTTATTTAAGTTCCAGGAGCCCTGCATTTTATCCTGCCATCATGAGCAAGGTTCCATCCTGTTACAAACATTAGGGTACAGTACTTACATTTGGCTGCTCATTTGGGAATTTTGGCAAAACCTCAGCTAACTGGAATGCTTGGACAGACAGTTTTGTAATGATCTGATTAAAAGCAGAAAATGCTTTTTGTTTCAAAAAAACAATCTCTCTATTTTAAAAATAATTTTCTAAAAAGCAGAGCAGGCAAACTTGTCCAGCTCCAGGCAAGGGGCCCCACTAGGGGGCCCTTTGAGACAGGCGAGAGTGGCCGCTGGCTGTGCCACTAAGAGTGGTGTGATTTCTCTTTCGGACTTAGACCCTGCCGTGGGTGATAATGTCTGTCTTACAGAGTTGCTATTGAGGATAATGTGAGATAAAGTAAGGGAAACCTCCTTGGAATCTAGGTAGTAGGGCCAAACATTTAAAAAAATTCTACAACGCTATTAACAGTTTTTTCTTAGTTCAATTTATTTGCTCCCTGCCTTGTATTTATTTATCTATCTGGTATTTTATATGTGAGAGTGGTGTCATGATGGCTAGGCAGCGTGTGGCCACAGCAGCCTCACTGGTTTAGGGGAATCCAGTCAGGACCAAGGCTGATCCGCATGATACTCTGGCTGAATGACGTGGGGGCCCAGTGAACTCGCCTTGCAGAACAGGTGGTCACTCACACCATAGCCCAGGGTCGGCACAAGCAAGCACAGAAACAGTTAAAGGAAATTCAAATATAGGCAAGAAATAAGGTTATGATAAAGGTGGAAATTCAAATCAGAGCATACAAGAACGATCATTTAATTTGGGAGGAGGGTAACTGGCTATGTATATAGGAAAAAATAAAGTTAGATGCCTACCTCACAATATACTCCCGAATAAGTTGCACATGGATTAAAGCTCTAACTAGATAATGTTAAACAAAAAACTCTTAAAGATTAGGAAATATAGGAGAAAGAAGAAAAGCATAGTATGGAGGCAAGGAAGGCTGTCTAAGGCAGGAAGAAAACCCAGAAGCCACAAATGAAAACTCTTGACAGGCTAGGCGTGGTGGCCCATACCTGTAATCCTAGTACTTTGGGAGGCTGAGGCAGGAGGATTGCTTGAGCCCAGGAGTTCGAGACCAGCTTGGGCAACACAGTGAGACCTAATCTCTACAAAAAAACTTTAAAAGTCAGCTGGGCATAGTGGCACACTCCTGTAGTCCCAGCTATGTGGGAGGCTGAGGCCAGAAGACAGCTTGGGCCCGGGAAATCAAGGCTGTGGTGAGCTGTGATTGCACCACTGTACTCCAGCCTGGGCGACAGAAGGATTGACAGAGCCTACTATACAAAAATTTTAAACTTCCATTTTTATAGTGAGGGCATTAAAAAATATTTGAAAGACAAGGAAAAGATGGAAAGAAAAATGTAACATACTAGATAAAGTTTTCAGATTCTGAAAACCTGCAGAAAAATGGTAACTGACAAATTACAGAAGAAAAAACATAAATGGCTAATGAACATTTATTCATTTAAAAATACATGAGTCTAGAGTATTTATTTAGTATGCAGTAGCTATGATGTGGCAGGCACGGTTTTAGGATAAGGGAAAACAGTAGTGGACAAAGCAGAGAAGATGCCTATCCACGTGAGGCTTACATTCTATCGGAGACAAGGTACAATGATCAAATAAAGCAAAGTTTAAAACATCTCACAAAGTTATATACACATTATATCGAATTAAAATAGGGTGAAGTGACAGAGTGTCACTGGGTCCCTACTTCAGATTGGGCAGTCAGTAAAATGTGTCACCTCTAAGGAGGTGATATGGAAGCTGAGATCTGAATAATAATAAGAGCTCCCAGATGCAAAAAGGAGGAGGAAAGACATTCTAAGCAGAGGGCCTTGGGTCTTGGCCACAAGAATGAGCTTCCCCACTGGCAAGCTACAGCAAGGACAAGACAGATGGCCAGTGCTGTTGGAGCAGCGAAGTGGGCACGACGAAGCCTTGGGATGATCAAAGGGGTAAGTAAGGGCTGGATCAAGTGGGACTTACACGCCAGAGTAAGGAGTTGGGTTTTATCTTTGTGCAAGGGGAACATAAACTGATTAACATTTTTGAAAGATCACTCGGGCTGCTGGGCTGCTGCTGGACGGAGAACAAAGGGCTGGGGTAGGGATGGCAGGAGAGACAATGGGGTGAGGGTCAGTACTAGCTTTAGAGAACAAGATGGGTGACTTCACTATGGTGGATTACTGACGCTGAGAGAAGTGGGCGGATGAATGCAAGATGCATCTAGGAGTTTGTGCCCATAGGCTTGATGTTGGGCTGAGAGGTTGACGAGGAAAAGAGAATCCTTAGACTTCTGGCTTGGGCAAATGGATAATGATGGTGCTGTTTACTGGGATGAAGAATGAGCAGATTTAGATGGGGAGTTCGTGTGTGTGTGTGTGTGTGTGTGTGTGTGTGTGTGTGTGTGTGTAGGAGATGGAACTGTATTTTTTTGGCCACTTTACTCTGAAATGCTATTGGATGCTCATGTGGCTGTGTCAGATTGGTAGTCCGAATCCTAGGGAGGAGCCTGCTTGCTGAGGGCCCCTGCTGCTCACCCTCGAGGCACTTGCCCAGCTGTACTGAAACCACCACAGCACTGGCCTGTCCCCACGACGGGTGTGTGCCATGTATCTGCCCACATAGTCCAAGGGTTCCATAAATGCTGTGAGTGGGTAACTATTACCTCAGGTGACTTTCCTCTCTTCTCTCCTTTATCCTCTACTTCTAACCCATCCCAAAGCCTTCCCAGTAGGGAAGTCTGCATCCCAAGATCTGCAGAAACCCTCAGGTACCTGCTTTCTGCCAAATATTATGCCTCCAGTCAACTGCCCTCATTTCTCAGCCTGGGTCTCTTCATGACTGGATGGCCACTAGAATTTCACACAGATTTCTTTAACTCTATGTCTCCCCACTCAAATCCAATTAGTGAAGAGCAACAAAAATATTCTAGTTGAGGTTTGTCGGCTACTTTCTAATTAGAGGGCTCCCTGTTCACCCATCTCATCACACCCAAAATCCTAGGGACATGGCACTGTGAGCACTAATGATGTCAGCAGCCAGTCTTGCCAAGTATTTATTAGTATAGGGTACACATTGAGAGCAGGATCCACACACTCTTTTTTTTTTTTTTTTTTTTTTAATTTGAGACAGAGTCTCACTCTGTTGCCCAGGTTGGAGTACAGTGGTGAGCTCATAGCTCACTGCAGCCTCGACTTTCCAGGCTCACGCAATCCTCCTACGTCAGCCTCCTTAAGTAGCTGGGACTACAGGTATATGCCAATGTGTTGGGCTAATTTTTTTTTTTTTTTTTTTTTGGTAAAGACAGGGTCCCACTATGTTGCCCAGGTTGGTCTCAAATTCCTGGGCTCAAGCAGTCCTCCTGCCTTGGCTTCCCAAAGTGCTGGGATTAGAGGCATGCACCACCATGCCTGGGCTACACACAGTCCATTTTTATGACTTGCTTCAGGACCTACTACAGTATTGTGTACACTGCCTAAGACAGCATAATTTGCAGAATTCCATCTGGACTGTTCCCTTTCACCCTGAACTTTCCATTTCTTCGGTTTACAAAATGGGCATCGTTTTACCTATAGCTGGGAGTTTACCTAGAACAGTGTATGTAACACATCTACCACAGGATGCTGCTGATGCTGATGCCTTGCAAAGACTAACTGTTTGTCCCCAGTCATTAACCCTGTGGTTGTAGTCAGAGTGTGAGGTGCTCACACTTGCTGTCCTGCTTACTAAGATGTGAAGGGTCCTTGAGAGGAAGTCACTGCAATAAGCCCAGTGGAATGACTTCTCAGCATTTCTTCCTTCCTGAAGAGCCCCCTTATGACCCATGGGGAGCTGACCCCAGCTCCCAGGGTAGACTCTGATTAGTTATGGCCACCCCCAGCAGTTGGTGCAGAAAGAGGGGTGTAACCTAATGAAACTTTTAGAAGGGGGCTTATTCCCTGTGTAGGGATGACCTTTCTCTTTCACTGGATATGAACAAGAAAGCCTGATGCTTCAGTTGCTGCCTGCGGCCACCCTATGACCACAAGGAGACCAGCTGATGTTGGGGACAGGAGGCCAGAGAGGAAGAATCTGGGCCCCTGATGACATCAAGCCACTGAATCAACCAGCTTGGAAAGCAGGTGTTTTTCTCTGATCAAGTGAAAAAGTAAGCATCCTCTTTGTAAAAGTCTGTTTAACTTGAGCTTACTTCTACTTACAGCAAAAGCATTCTAACTCAGATCACTTTACTGGTGAAGTATATGGTAGTTTAGTTTAAAATATTAAATGTTGGACGGGCGTGGTGGCTCACGCCTGTAATCCCAGCACTTTGGGAGGCCAAGGCGGGCAGATCACCTGAGGTCAGGAGTTCGAGACCGGCCTGGCCAACATGGTGAAACCCTGTCTCTACTAAAAATATGAAAATTTACCGAGCATGGTGGCCTGTGCCTATAATCCCAGCTACTCGGGAGGCTGAGGCAGGAGAATTGCTTGAACCCAGGAGGTGGAGGTTGCAGTGAGCTGAGACCACGTCACTGCACTCTAGCTTGGGCAACAAGAGCAAAACTCTGTCTCAAAATAAATAAATAAATAATTAAATGTTAAGTTGAATTGAGGTTTCCAATACAGTTCCTACTTCTTTCAGCTCTCCAAGAAGATTCTCTATCCCTAGTTTATCAGTCAAATAGACTTCCTTTGGAATGCATCTCCTGAGGCTCTGTTCATCCAGTATAAGAAATAACATCATTTACACTTACCAACTTCCTTCCTCTCTGGATTTCTTTCTTTACTGATTCCACATCAAAACTTCTATCAAGATTAAGTGGATCATGATCCTCACATTCCACAAGTCCTGAAGAATACAGCTGCAGATTGGAAAAAAAAATCCAGAGTATGCACAAAGTAATATTGAAAGCTACATATCAGAAAATCATACCAAAAGTGGAAAATCAAACCAGGAGTGGGAAATGGACTGGAGGTAAAACAGTGGCAACCTTTGGGAATGGATGAACAGACCATAAGCCATCCCATTTCTCTGGGAATGACCCTGGTTTCCAGGCATGTTTTATACTCTGTAATCCTGACCTCTAATAACTCATTGACCTGGGTGGAACCCTGATGCCAAGCTAGGTCAGTCCAATCCCCTATCCTAAAAGTGTGGAATGGGCTTTGAGGAATAGTTGAAGCCATGTGGTCAGAGCAAGTCAGTCTGCAAAGAAAGAAAAACAAGGGCTAGAAAGAGGACATTCTAGGTTCCCAATGGCTTTCTAGCTGTTTCTTACACCCACCTGCATGCCTGCCTTTAGGAAACATGAAATGCTCCCAAAACCTTATTATAAATCCCCTTTTATGTTTAGACCGGCTCCAGTCTCTATGTGCTACTTGAAACCAGAAGAATCCAAATCTGAATTGAAGATCAATATTTCACATTTTATAATCAAATGACAAAAGGGCATGAAAAACCTAAGAGTAAATTTTGGTGACATTGGCATAGGCAAAGATTTCATATAAAAATCAGAAAGCATAAAGAAAAAGTAAGTTGGATTATATCAAAATTAAAATTGTCTTTGAAAGACATTGCTAAGAAAACAAAAAGGCAAGCCAGAGACGGGGAGAAAATATTCACAATACATATCTCTGACAAAAGACTTGCATCCAGAATTTAGAAAACACTTACAACTCAAGAATAAGACAATTCAATTAAAAGTGGGCACAAAATGTGAATAGATGCTTCATGAAAGAAGGTTTATGAATGGCAAATGAGCACATGAGAAGATGCTCAGTCTCATTAACCCTCAGGCATATTAAAGCCATAGTGAGATGCAATACACATCTGCTGGACTGCCTAAAATAACAAGACCCACTGTTGATGAGGATGTGGAGCAAATGAAATTCTTACATATTATTGGTAGAAATGTAAAATAATGCAATCACTTTTAAAGTTAAACATACACTCACTTTATGACTCAGTAATTCTAGTTCTAGCTGTTTACCCAAAAGAAACATAATCAAACAAGAAAAACAGATTGAGTGCCCCAGATTAAAGGTAAATAAATAAAATTGTCCTTATTTAAAGATGAGGATTGTCCACATACAATATATCCAGGTAAATCTAGAGACTTTTTAGAACTAACAAGACTTTGGTAAGGTTGCTGGATGAGATCAATAAATAAAAATCAATAGTGTTCATATATACTGATAATAGCTCATTTAAAAAGGTTTTAGAAAAAAGTAACAAAACAAAAAACAAGCCCAGGAATATGCCTAACCCCAAGATCTATACCTCTACAGATAAAAATTACTGAATAGCTGGGTGCGGTGGCTCACACCTGTAATCCCAGCACTTTGGGAGGCCAAAGCAGGCAGATCACCTGAGGTCAGGAGTTCGAGACCAGTCAGGCCAACATGGTGAAACCTCATCTCTACTGAAAATACAAAAAATTAGCTGGGCATGGTGGCAGGGACCTGTAATCCCAGCTACTCTGGAGGCTGAGGCAGGAGAACTGCTTGAACCTGTGAGGTGGAGGGTGCAGTGAGCCGAGATCACGCCATTGCACTCCAGCCTGGGCAACAAAAGCAAAACTCCGTCTCAAAAAAAAAAAATTATTGAACAATTTTGAAATTATGAAAGACCTAAATAAAGACACAAAGACTCATATACAGATGCTCAGAACTGATCTTTATCATAAGAGCTCCAAACTGGAAATAACACGTCTACCAACAGATGAATGAATAAACAAATTGTGATATATGCATACCAATTAAGTACTATGAAGAATGATAAAGGAACAAGATACAGATACATGCGACATGGGTGAATCTAAAACAGTATGCTGAGCAAAGGAAGTGACACAAAGGAGGACAACGATAGGATTCCTTTCATATGAAATCTGAGAAAAGATAAGACAAATCGATAGGGAGTTGGGGTAGGAAGGAATTGATTGCACAGAGCATTGAGGAAACCCTTTGGGGTAATGGATATGTTTATATCTTGATGGTGGTAGTGGTTACATGGGTCTCATGTGGTTACATGTCTCAAAACTTTCTGAATTGGACACTTAAAATGGGTACATTTTATTTTATGTAAAATATGCCAATAAAGTTAACTAAAAAATAGTAGCAAATCAACATCAACAGTGTATTAGAATAAAAAGATCACCGCTGGGAGCGGTGGCTCACGCCTGTAATCCCAACACTTTGGGAGGCTGAGACAGGAGAATCACTTGAGGCCAGGAGTTCAAGATGAGCCTGGATAACACAGTGGGACCCCCATCTCTACAAAAATAAAATAAAAAATTAGCTGGGTGTGGTGGTACATGCCTGTAGTCCCAGCTACTTAGGAAGCTGAGGTGGGAGGATTGCTTAAGCCCAGGAGTTCAAGGCTGCATTGAGCTATGATTATACTCCATTCCAGCCTGGGGAGACCTTGTCTCAAATAAATAAGTAAAAATAAAACATCACCATTAAATGGTGTTAATCTAAGAATGGTTTCACAGCAGAAAAAATATATAAGTACAACACACATTACTAACAGAATGAAATGAAAAAACTTAAGACCTGAAAACCAAATGCAACCCCTGAGCGAAAATCTTTTGTTGTAAAAAATGTTATTAGGCCAGGTATGGTGGCTCACACATGTAATCCCAGCATTTGGGAGGCTGAGGTGGGAGGACTGCTTGAGCCCAGGGGTTGGATACCAACCTGGGCAACATGGCAAAAAACCCATCTCTACAAATAGTACAAAAAAATTAGCTGGACACAGTGGCACATGCCTACAATCCCAGCTACTCTGGAGGCTGAGGTGGGAGAATCACTTGAGCCCAGGAGGTCAAAGTTGCAGTGAGGCATGATGGTGCCATTGCACTCCAGCCCTGGGCAACAGAGTGAGACCTCGTCTCAAAAAAAAAGCACACACACACACACGTGTTATTAGTACAACAGGTGAAACCTCAGTGGTTTGAGGAATAGATGGTAATAGTATAACAAAATTTCCTGATTTTGACGTTTATATTGTTATAGTGTGAGAGAATGTCCTGTGTATTAGTCAGTTCTCATGCTGCTAATAAAGACATACCTAAGACTGGGTAGTTTATAAAGAAAAAGAGGTTTAATGAACTCACAATTCCACATGGCTGGGGAGGCCTCACAATCATGGCAGAAGGTAAGGGGGAGCAAAGCCATGTTTTACGTGGCAGCAGGCAAGAGAGATTTTTGGGGAACTCCTCTTTATAAAACCATCACATTTCCTGAGACTTATTCACTATCATGCGAATGGCATGGGAAAAACCCGCTCCCATGATGCACTTATCTCCACCTGGCTCCGCCCTTGACAAGTGGGGATTATTACAATTCAAGGTGAGATTTGGGTGGGGACATAGCCAAACCATATCACCTTATTTGTAGAAAATACATACTAAAGGCTGGGCACAGTGACTCATGCCTGTAATCCCAGCACTTTGGGAAGCCGAGGCGGGCAGATCACAAGGTCAGGAGATCAAGACCATCCTGGCTAACATGGTGAAACCCCGTTTCTACTACAAATACAAAAAAATTAGCTGGGTGTGGTGGCACGCGCCTGCAATCCCAGATACTCTGGAGGCTGAGGCAGGAGAATCGCTTGAACCCCGGAGGCAGAGGTTGCAGTGAGCCAAGATCGCACCACTTCTCTCCAGCCTGGGGCGACACAGCAAGACTCCGTCTCAAAAAAAAAAAAAAAAAAAATACTAAAGTATTCAGGATAGATAACACATAATTTAATTTAAAATGGTTCTGACCCAAAAAAAAAGTTCTTTGTACTGTATATGCAACTTTTCCATAAATTTGTAATTTAAAATAAACATCAAATTATGCACATAAAAAAGTAAAATAAAATAAAGCATTTAGCAATGTTTGTAGCCAGAGAGAGAAAAAGAACCCAGATCATTTCAATAGATGTAGCACAAGCATTTTGTAATATTCAACATGCTCTAATTTTTAGCAAACTAGAGATAAAGGTAACTTCCTTATTTTAATAAAATGAAATCATTAAGAATGTAAAACATACACAATGATAAGATTTTTGAAGCATCCCATTAATATCAGAAACAAGACAGGGCTCCCATCTTTAATTGCTTGTAATCACTGCTATAATTGAATGTTCTGGAAAAACACAAACTAGAAAAAGAGATTAAGAGTCCCCCGAATTAAAGGTAAATAAATAAAATTGTTCTTATTTAAAGATGAGGATTGTCCACATACAATATATCCAGGTAAATCTAGAGAGGTTTTAGAACTAATAAGACTTTGGTAAGGTTGCTGGATGAAATCAATAAATAAAAATCAATAGTGTTCATACATACTGATAATAGTTCATTTAAAAAGCTTTTAGAAAAAAGTAACAAAACAAAACAAAAAACTTGCCCAGGAATATGCCTAACCCCAAGTTCTATATGTCTACAGATAAAAATTATTGAACAGTTTTGAAATTTATAAAAGACCTAAATAATTGGAGAGACAGACTCTGTTAATGGATGGGAAAAAAAGACACATTCATATAACATACAATATATTAATATATATTAATTATATTATATAAAATAATATATTTATATATTTGTATATAAATGTATAATTGATATATTAATATATAATGTATCAATAACATATTAATACATTATACATTAATAACATATTAATATATTATATGTTATAATATGTGAATGTGTCTTTTTCCCATCCATTAACAGGGTCTGTCTCTCCAATTATTTATATTAATTATTTATAATATAATATATGAATGTATCTATTTATTCCCCAAATTCATCTATAAATGCAACGCAATTCCAATCAAAATTCCAAGAGGAATTTTGGTCAAACATGAAAAGCTGATCCACAAATTCAAAGTGCCAAAATAACAGCCAAGGCTAGTAATAAAGCCACAGTGTAGTCATCCCTCAGTGTCTGCAGGGGATTGGTTCCAGGAACCCCCGAGGCTACCAAAATCGTGAATGCTCAATTCCCTTATCTAACAGGCATAGTATTTTCATATAATCTACACACATCCTCCTTTATACAGATGGTCCCCAACTTACAATGGTTCAACTTAACAGTTTTTTCTAACTTTACAATAGTGCATGCATTCAGTAGAAATAGTACTTCGAGTACCCATAAACCATTCTGTTTTTCACTTTCAATACAGTATTCAATAAATGTTTTGAGATATTCAACACTTTGTTATAAAACAGGTGTTGTGTTAGATGATTTGCCCAACTGTGGGCTAACGTAAGTGTCCTGAACATGTTTAAGGTGAGCTAGACTAAGCTATGATGTTTGGTAAGTTAGGTGTATTAAATGGTACAATCTCTTTGAAGAACAATTTGGTATATTTAGTGAAGTATAAAACACCCCATTCCTGTGCCTAACAGTTCTGCTCTTAGCCATACAGCCTACATGAGGGAAATTCTCACATGAAAAGGAGACCTAGACAAGAATGCTCATGACAACTTGTTACTCATAGAAAACAATACTGGAAAAACTAAATGCCCATTCACAGAACAGTTAATGGTGATATAGTCATGAAATCGAACATCGTATTTAAAATGAAAGACTTAGAGTTATGTTTACCAACATGGATAAATCTCAGAAATCTGTAGACTTTGATAGAAATTATATCTGGGTAGAAGATCTATCAGTGTCTGTTATATTTTAAATATTTCATTAAAATATCTATAAATAAGCTTCTTCAGCACAATTCTTTCTCTTTGTGTATTTAACCACTTACAAATAAAATTACCAGTAATCATAGGTGATAAGTTCTGAAACAGTTCAAAGTCAGAAAAATATGCTCCCCAGGCCGGGCGTGGTGGCTCACGCCTGTAATCCCAACACTTTGGGAGGCTGAGGCAGATCACGAATTCAGGAGATCGAGACCATCCTGGCTAACACAGTGAAACCCCATCTCTACTAAAAATATAAAAAAATTAGCTGGGCGTGGTGGTGAGCGCCTGTAGTCCCAGCTACTCAGGATGCTGAGGCAGGAGAATGGCGTGAACCCGGGAGGCGGAGCTTGCAGTGAGCCGAGATTGTGCCACTGCACTCCAGCCTGGGCAACAGAGTGAGACTCCGTCTCAAGAAAAAAAAAAAAAAAAAAATGCTCACCAATCTTCACCTAAAAGCCCAAACCATGGCAAACTTGTTATTCTCTGTATCCAAAGTGTTGTTTATTCTTGTGTGCGCTACACTAAAAGTACTCATGTACTTTGAAGTACGTTTTCAAGTAACTTACCAAACAATTCTCATGAGCAGCTATATTCTCTGATTGTGCAAAATACAGCACATTATACTCGACATCTTTGGGGCAGAGTGCACATGTCCTTTTTTCCATCTTTTCTGCAACCTGAAAGACACCTATAAGTAACATCCCTGGTGAGAAATGGAAAAGTGGAATTTCTTGGTCTCACTAACTCCTCTTCCAGTCTTAAAGTAGAAGGTAGGGCACTTGTTTTTATGAGAGATTCTTAATTCCCAGAGAGATAAAAAATTGGGGACCCAAGTGGAAAAGCTATTTAGTTTTTATTTTTTAATGTGCTAATAAAAGCATTAATGAGTTCATTTCTAAATGCCTAATAATGAGGATAACTTCTTCTTTTTAAAATGTAGAGACAAGAGGCTTGTTCAGTTGCCCAGGCTGGAATGCAGTGGCTCACTGAAGCCTTGAACTTCTGAACTCAAGTGGTCCTCTCAGGTAGCTGGGACTATAGGTGCATGCCACCACAGCCAGCTAATTTTTTTTTTTTTTTGAGAGACCGGGGTCTTGCTATGTTGCCAAGGCTGTTCTCAAGCTCCTGGCCTCAAGTGATCCTTCTATGTTGGCATTTCCAAACTGCTGGGATTACAGGCATGAGCTACTGTGCCCAGCCAAAATGAGGAAGACCTTTATTCAAGAAACATAACCAGGAACATTTTCGCACAACATTGCTTGTTTCTGTGCATTGGGCAGAGCTGTCAACTCACTGATATGTAAGCTGCACTCTCAAGTACTTGGGTTCCAAGAGTCTCGGCATCTGGGAATACAGAGGTGGTCTGTAATGTCTGCCAACTGGGAATACAGAGAAGAACAAGACAGATATGCTGACAACACTGCTGTGCTAGACCCAGAGTTTGTCTCCAGTGCAGATGGATAAAAACACGGGGTGGGACCCACAGGTTCTCCCTAGTGGCTTTTTCCTGCTAAATCCCCTCACATCACAGCATCCTAATAGATTTCGGCTCTTCTAGTTCTTTTAATCTTCTAGACTGGAGGAAGCGTGTAATTCTCTGCAGTTAGGGGAGCCACACTGAGGACTTTTACACAGACAGGCATCTCTCACTATCTGAACTCTTGCTATGTGTTATCTGAAACTCATGGACCACATACATTTGGACAGTTTGGTATCCTTCACCATCTGAGTCAGGAATTGTACAGATTCAGAGAGGGAGAGATACCTAACGGTGTGTCATGAAGGCTGAAGTATTTTAGGGAAGAGCCCCTTGGTTTTCATCTGTAGCTGGCACCAAGAATAGTGATGGCCAGCAGGGCTCCCCAGGCTCCTTTCTAGGGGGTTTAGCAACCCTGAGGACTCACAGAGCCTGACCCGATAAGATTGCAGAATTTTAGAATTCTCACAAATGAAACTGAGAGCCAATAAAGTTTATACAGAATGAAACCACAGAAAGATCACAAGCGTGCACTATGAGAACTATGACTAATTCAAACAACACACTGATTCTTAGTCTCTCTGGCAATCTGCAGGCCCACTTCAATGTGGAAATGGATTGCCAAGACTCTAGCCTCTACTCTTAAAGCCCTCCAGCCAAGGGCAATCCACCCAGGGCACAGAATCTGGGGAAACCAGGAAGGGTGGCCAAGGAACACATTCTGCCACTAAAGAAATGGGTGAAACAGATGGAATGGGATTCACTAATCCTATCATTTCATTTAGAATTCTCTTCCAGTATAGATTTGTTCTGGGCTGGTAACTAATTTATGGTGCTGGTGTGGAGAGTTCCTCCTTTTTTCTCCTTTTATCGTTAGTATTTATTGCAGTTTACTATTTTAGTTCTTCCACTGTTTGCTGGATGTGTAGAAGCCAATTTTATCACTGGTCCAGTGATTGCCTACCTGAACTGGATACAGACCAAAATAGTAGACATTACCTAGAGGCTTGGCAAGGAACTTGGTAATGGCCTTGGAGAATGAATGGCTCCATCGCATTATCTCAGGATGAAGTGGCTAGATATGACTTTGGCAGAAGTTAAGTGTGACTGAATTTGGTTTCGGTATACCTAGAATTCATTACTGGGAACAGAATGCATCACTGGGAACATCTTTAGAATGTATAAATAGGAATAAGGATGTGTGTGTTATAGAGGAGGGACCATGGGGAACCAAAGGGTAGGATGTTCAACGGACTCCTTTAGGGTATCTGTTCAGCTCACAATGACCCCCAGCAGGCATGTTTGTACTTCATTCCTGTAGACATAGCTGATAGTCCCAGAGGACCTGCCCATCTCTCAGATGTATGGAATTCAGGATAGAAGATTTCAGTTCAGATTGGGCTGGTTTCTTAAAGAAGATGTAAAAACTGAGAGGCTGCCAGGGCAGCCATCTTCTATACCATTACCAGGAAAACTGGACCAGAGAAAGACAGAAGAACAAAGCAGATACACTGAGAGATGCAGAAATAAGAGATAAAGGAGAGTGTTGGTTTATAATGGCTTCTCAGGTCCTAGTCCTCAGCACTTTCTGTAAGATTCTAAAGCATCCGTGCTCTGGGGGTCTGTGAGTCTGGTCATCCTGCTTACTATTAATAAGCATCCCTTATGCTTAAATTACATCAAATTGTTTTTGTAGCACTTGCAGCCAGTATGTGCTTATTAACACTGGAAGGACCATGACCTGATCTGTGTGTGCACATTCACATGTGTATATGTGTGTTCGTGTGCCCATGTGTGTTTAAGAGAAAGGCAATGCTGGCAGCGGTGTGGAAGGTGGACTGCCTTACCCTCAGGGTCTTTCACCTAGTCCATTCCAGTGATCTCTTGTCTTTGTCTCTATTTTCCCTGTCATGATCCCACTCCATTCTTTACATTACCGTCAGAATGATCTACTGGAAATGTACTACGTTACTGTCAGAATGATCTACCTGAAATATACGAGGTTACTGTCAGAATGATCTACCTGAAATGTACGAGGTTACTGTCAGAATGATCTACCGGAAATGTACGAGGTTACGACGGTAACCTAGTACATTTCAGGTAGATCATTCTGACAGTAACCTCGTACATTTCCGGTAGATCAATTCTGACAGAACCTAGTACATTTCAGGTAGATCATTCTGACAGTAACCTAGTACATTTCCGGTAGATCATTCTGACGGTAACCTAGTACATTTCCGGTAGATCATTCTGACAGTAACCTCGTACATTTCCGGTAGATCATTTCTGACAGAAACCTAGTACACTTTCAGGTAGATCATTCTGACAGTAACCTCGTACATTTCCGGTAGATCATTCTGACAGTAACCTAGTACATTTCGGTAGATCATTCTGACAGTAACCTAGTAACATTTCAGGTAGATCATCTCTGACAGTAACCTAGTACATTTCACGGTAGATCATTCCTGACCGTACCTCGTACATCTTCAGGTAGATCATTCTGACAGTAACCTCGTACATTTCCGGTAGAATCATTCTGACAGAAACCCAGTACATTTCAGGTAGATCATTCTGACAGTACTCCGTACATTTCGGTAGATCATTCTGACAGTAACCTAGTACATTTCCGGTAGATCATTCTGACAGTAACACTAGTAATTTCAGAGAACTCATTCTGGCAGTACACCTAGTACATTTCAGGTAGATCATTCTGACAGTAACCTCGTACATTACAGGGTAAGATCATTCTGACAGTAACCTGTACATTTCCGGTAGATCATGTCTGACAGTAACCTCGTACATTTCAGGTAGATCATTCTGACAGTAACCGTCTACATTCTCAGGTAGAAGTCATGTCTGATGCCTAACCTCCGTACATCTTTCAGCGTACGACATCCATTCTGACGGTAACGCTCGT